CTATAATAAGATTGTTAACACAGCCTATACAGGGTTGCACCTAGAGTACTCAGATCAGGTGACTGAGGAGGCTGAGCCACTGCTCCCTACAGGACACCTACTACATAAGGCCACTCTACCAATTCCAGGAGACATACCAGTTCTACCAAATATATAAAAACAAACACAAAGAAGCAGACAAAGAAACATGTCACAGATGAAAGAATGGAAGAAATCTCCAGAAAGAGAAATGAATAAAATGGAAGCAAGCAAAATACTGGATACAGAGTTCAAAACAATGGTTATAAGGTTGCTCAAGTATTTTAATGAGAGCTTCAAAGGACTCAAAGAGAGTCTAGAACAACACCTAAGTGAAGGAAATAGTGGGGCAACATTTTCAAGAAACTTAAGGAAGTGTGAGCCAAGGATTTTTTTTTTAGCTTGCTGAGATGTTCTTCAAGTATCAAGACTATGTATAAAAAACAAGAACAGTTTCTAAGATGCAACAACTCAAAGAATACTGTACACACAAGTATTTTCTGAGAGATCTACTAAAGGAGAGCTTATCCAACCAACAGATAACTCAGGAAACTTGGCAAAAGATGATGAGGATTTAATATATTCAAGTGTAACGCTGATAGTATAAAAGCAGAGGTGGAGACATTGGTGTGGGGAACCAATATAGGGTTGAGCCTCGGACTGACCTGCTGGCAAAGTCACAAACAAGTCCCAGCTTAGAGGGCTCAGTCCTCTTAGCTTAATTAGGCTTGACCTTATAACACTCCCTGGATCTTATCTGGGAGGCTAATGGGCTGAAGGAAGTGCAGGAAGTGTAACTATAGTCAAAACAGGTGAAACTCACAAGAACTGTGTAACTATAGTGACCACTGCCTTGTTTACCTCTGACTATAAAAAAGGTTGGTGCAGCCTGAGCACCGGTGGAAGTCCTTCCTCTTGAGTTGGACTTACCCTCCTGGCCGCCCCAATATTCCCAAATTATCTCTTGTCTTTTCTCTTTTATTTGTGTGCGGCTCCTCTTCTAGATCCTGAACCCAGAACCACGCGGGACGTGGAGGGAAACATTTACAACATATTGGTAAAGAATAATAGCAAAAGCAATATGTCCCACAGATTAGAAAGAACGTAGCTGAAGATGAGAAGAAAGAGAAAATAATAAAATCATCGACTTGCTTTCAGTTTGGTATGAAATGGTAACATTTTAAACTGACAGGCAAAACAGTAAAAAGTTAAATAAGGAAAAGGGAGCAATGACAGTATAAATGATAAAAATTTATCATTTTTAATGACAGTATAAATGATAAAAATTTACCATTTTTAATGATAGCATAAATGCTAAAATATGGAATAACCACTAGAACAAAAATATAATTCTTCTTAAACACCAAAACAAATATTTTGAAGAACAATAGAGACACACCAACTAAAGAAAATAGCAAAGTAAATATAAAATAATACACATAAAATAATATGACAGATTTGAGATGAAACAACTTAGTTTTATGACTAAATGTGAGTGGGTTTAACTAACCTATTAAAGAAAATCAATTTTCAAATTGGTCCCTAAATCAAAACTCAACTCTGTTACTTACAAAAAAACATAGCTAAAGCACCTCTGTTTCAAGCCAGAAATATGTGTCAATGAATGTTGTGGGCAGATAATATTTGTAATTCTATCTTATGGCTATAGTGTTCCCACCTAGCACAGTGCTTGGCACATTGAAAACATTAAAAAATTATTGGATAAATGGATGGATGAATGAAAACTTTGTAGTCTATAAAATACGCATCACCTCAAAATAGCATCAAAGTCAAGGATATAATCTTAGGTATAAAAATGTGAATTTTAATTATTACTGGATCTCTAGATATTTACTTACTGTAGAGAACACATTAATTTCTGTAATTTCCCAAGTACATTGAGAGAGTCATTTGCCATCAACTGCCAACTTGGAGAGAGAGTCTGGGCAGTGAGCTGTTAGAGCTTGCTGTGACCATGTTCCTGTTGAAAGTTTTTATCAACAACTGAGATGAAGATGTTGATGCAGTGGTAATAATCATCAGACTGACAGGAAGCTGGAGGGATCACTCTTATATAAGGTGACAATATGTCCAAAAGGATTTCACTCAACAGGTTAGAAGGTTGGATCAAATAACAATACACAATTAAATAAGGACAATAGAAAGTACTGGACTTAGGTCCCCCAATATAATTAGACAATATGAACAGAATGAGGGACCAGAATGATCAAAACATGTGAAACACTTACAGTAAGTGTTCCGTAATTAGGGGCAATTATGAAACAATGTGGAAAATGCCATAAAGAGCCTTTACCATATGGAAAGAAATACAAAGGAAAGTTAGAATGATGTTCCTCATAATTGTGGTGGGCACTAAATATGCTTGGTACTCCAACCCAGGAGTACTGCATGCCCATGGACCCAGAGGAGGACTGAAGAGAGATTATGAATGGGATTGAATAAATTTCCCCTCCTAGAGTTTACCCTACAACAACAACAGGAAGTGCATCTATTCCTGCTTATGCCCTTTATTCTGTAATTCTCTTTGAATCTAAATGATTAAGCATATTTTTTATGAAGAAGTCAAAGGTACCTGAAAAGAGATACATGGTCAACTAAAAATTATTCTTCTTTAGATTGTCTATCAACTTTGTGTCAGAGAGTGAAGTGCAAAAATTCTCATAAAAATTTTAGCTTAGGGTAGACACATTTGATGGTTTCCATCACTATAGGAAGCAGTGTTCACAACAGAGTTGTCTTCTCTCTGTTATGAAATAATACATTCATTGATTAAAATACTGCCTTTTCATAAAGAGATTAAACTTCGCACCAGAATTTGATATTGTTTTATGAGCATATTGCCATAGAATTGAAAAGCTGACTTTAATTTTAAAACATCAGGAAAATTTAAAAATTGTGTCAGGTTCTACATTTATTAACTGTGTGAGTATGGGCAAATGAAGTAAGCTTCCTGTGCCTAAGTTCCTTCATTTGTTAGATGAAGATAATAATGCCTACCTTGCATGGTTCTTGTGGGAATAAAATAAGAAAATATATAAAAGTCCCCAGTGCAGCAGAAAGCTAGCACAGTTAATAAGAGCCACTGACAAAACTGTGACCAAGCCAATTGTCATCTTGCAGGATGGAGAGCTGTGGCTGCTTGGAATTGGAGTCCATGGCTTAAATAGCATTAGCTTTGCGAAGTTTGAATGACATCTAACTTCGGTTTTCATGAGAAAAGTATGCATTAATTCCAGTCACTTCTTTAATCAATATCCTGGTGATGTAAAGGAAGTGACATCAGTTTTTAAAAATTACTTGAATTAGAATTTCCAGGTAATTTTCATTTTAAGTAAGAATCATTACTGAATAGTACTTAGATTTGCTAAAGGCTACCCTGGAAGTATCTTTGGCATTTCTGTAGTTACTAGTGTCAGGTCACCATTTTAAAACATCAGCTTATTGTCCCGCCTAAATGATATGATCATAGTGCAATGTGCCCATCTACTTAATTATTACTTATCTAATTATTAGGTGTTCTGAAGGGTTAATGATGTCCAACTATCTGAAATCAAACTCAAAGGTGTTTCTTTGAATATACTAACTGCATGTCCCAGGTAGAAGAGCTAGGAGAGAGTAAAATATGGTTGAGTTACTTAAAGTGCTTAATAAATGACCCTGATAGAATATCCACAGGGATTAGAAGATGGAATTTATTTTCTGGGTTAGCATTTGGCAGAAATTGCTTAGCATTTGTCACTGAAATGGTAAACAGAAGCTCTGATTTCTGTTCTCAAGAAAATACACTTGGCTCCATACGTTCTCTACTAGTATACTTACCCCTTGGCATTCATTTCGCATCAGAACTTTGCATTTAGTTTATTTGGTAAGTTCATTGTACTCTCATCCCTGGGCTAGTCAATAGTTCAAAAATAAACATTGCAGCACTTGTTAAATATGTAACATTCAGCTCAAGCTGTGTTTATAACAAATGACTATTATTTAGTATTTACATATTACTTTGAAAGTATTTCAGAATAGTTCTTATTCATAATAAGTAGTCAAATACATACCTGGGCTCAATGGTTAAAAGAAAAATAAGATTCTGATTTTCTATCGAAAGGTGCAAGCTCAGGAAGAGAGAAAAATATTGATGTGTTTTTGTATTGAAAAACAATGCATTGGAACAAATACAAGTCTCAAAAGACATGATCAAAAGTTAATAGATTAACTGGACCAAAATTCAGCCTGCCCCCTGAAGCAGGCTAAGGTTCACAGAAGTCTACCACCTGCTCTCACTCCCTGGACTTTTGTGCAAAAAAAATGGAGAAAGCCTGGTCTCTGAGAACATTTCTGCCTCCAGTAAAGAGCAAAGGCTTGTGTGAGCTCATGGGGCTTTCCAGGTCTGACCACCAGCCATGAGGGGTATCAGAGTGAAACCTGTCTCTTTAGTTAGCAAGGGTCTATTGTAACATATTTGGCTCTAAGCAGGGGTCATTTGAATTTCAAGGGTGACTCAAGTCTTGAGGTCCAGTGGAGATGAAGGGTGGGATCCATGGGTAGATCTGCCTCTTCCCTATTAAGGGGATCGAGGGTGACACTACAGTGCATAGGTTGGGAGGTCTGGGTTGGTCCTCTCAGGAGGTACTACATGAATGTATCTTGGCTTTCATAATCTTGACAAAGGTGTCAAACTATGAAGTCACATCAAAGCTTGTGTGCGGTGGTGGGAGGAACTGTTTGTGACTGAGCCACACCTCACCTCTCAGCCTTGCACTTTGCCTGGCTCAGACCTAGCCCCATCAACGGTCTCTTGGGTCCACCATCTGATCCATCCCTATTTCCCGACAACCACTGTTGGGGACTGGGGAGGTTTACGGATTTGCTCAAGCCAGATGCACAGAGGTAGCTGCGTCCTCAGCGGGTATAGGAAGGGTTCTGGAGGCAGCCTTGGTGGGTGCTCCCTGCCAAGAAGGGCGGGGCGCGGGGCACGCGCGCGGAGGAGAAGGAGAGAGCGGGAGGGCCTGTGAGCGCAAGAGCTACATGAAAAGGGAGCGCGCCCGCTGCCACCTCCCTCCTCTGGAGAGAAGCTGTAGTGAGGCTGTGCGAAGCACCGCATTTCAGAGGACCGGCCAAGGCGCATCCCTGCACCATCAGCTGAAGCTCAGACGCCCGCGCTCCCTCAGCTGCTGCAAGCCAGCCCCGAGCCCGCCACTGCCTCGCAGCCGGACCGCGCCCAGCCCGGAGAGGACAGCAGCAGGAGGCGGCCCTGCTCAAGGCCACAGAGACCCCCGGCAGCGTCTCTCAGCAGACGGGTATGTGGTTTGTTGGTGCTGGGGAAGG